AGGAGATCACTGAAGAGGCCAAAGTCTGCTCTCCTGAAATTATTCATTTCCTTCATAATTCCACACTCCCTTTCCTTCATACTGTTGCTATCGAAATACACTTGTGATCTGTGTACTTTACACTTACAAATCTTTGTGTTACTTACTATATAACAGACCTATAGAGATAAAGATTTTTGATATTTGAAGTAACCAGTATGTCTGTGAGCCATAATCCTAGAACAGCTATTATTGTTGCTAAGTTGACGTGAAAACTATAATTTCCTGACCTAAGGTGTAGAAGCATAACAAAAACACCGGACAAGTTGAATGGTTCTGTTGACATCAAATATACCAGCCATTGGTTAATTAAGTTCTCTTTAAACCTCTATCAAAATGGTTTGTTCAAAATGAAGCAAACTGGCAGGAGGCTGTTTGCAAGATGTTGGTAAAGGTGTGAAATACCCTATGGATCTATTTCTTCTAAAGAAATCAAAATGAGAGTTGGAGTGTGATATAGATACTGGCCTACATGCGGTACGCAGCACTAACGTAGACTTGGGCAATGTAGACTTAGTCCTGGTTTTACTTATCAGAAGGAATAAACCACATCTGTCTGGTTATTTCAGTATTCTGGACTTTTATTCCTATTAAATAGGAAGCAAGATCTAGTTCAGTAGATGAATAATCAGTATGGATCTGGTTAACACGGTTTCATGACATAATTTTGGAGTTGAAATTGTGGTCAGTAGAGATGTGGGACTGCAAATAACTTGTGGCAGTGCATGGTACATCTGCCGCTTGTGCATCTGTTCATCATTTTAGTTTAAAGCTGATGTAGCACCTTATTGCTGCTGCTATAATGAAATGCTAGGGAAATGCCTTGTTAAAGAGTAGCTTAACATTATTAAAACAAAACAGTAATTACAAGGCCTCACAAATGAAAAAGAAAACAAGAGGCTTAAAAGCATTTTGTAACACAAGTCAGCCTTGACCACCATGACCTGTCATTCACTTAAACTTTGATGAGTAAAATAATCTCTGTGTTTGTGACCTTTCACAGCCAGAATTAGAAGGAACAAATAGAAAGGAAAGGGGAAAAAGATACAAAGAGGGAAACAAAGAAGGGGAATGTCAAGACAAGTTTTATCTATATTCCGTCTCTGTGTTTATCTATGTTTGTAATGACAAAATTACACGTGAGTGAACAAACACAAAGGAAAAGAGTTGTCACAAGTGGGGAAACTTGTCGTGTCACTGCTCAATCACGGTCTTTGCTGTTAGCGGGAAAAATTCAGTCAGCTTGATCCACTAGTATTTTGTTCCTATTGGAAAAAGTTAATACAAACAAGCAGTACTTTCTTTCATTCCAACAATTTAAATTTGTGCAAGAGGGACAAGGAGAAGAAGGTATATACATGGGTATAGTGGGTATATACATGCAGTGTGGTCATGTGTGGGAGTAGAGAAAACAGCTTGCTACTTGTATTCCCTCCACATGCCCAAGGCAGTAACTACCAGAACAGTAACAGACAGAACTGAGCTATATGAAGGGACCACATCAGTCAGAGTAGGAAACCCATCATGGAAACATGTCTATCTCATATTCTCTCAATGGTATGCAATTACAGACAGATTGAGAAGGTACAGGCAATTAGTTCAGCGTTCATATTCAGGCTCAGGATCAGGAGGAAGATTTGGCTCTGGTCAGACTTAGGAAGAGTGCCCAAGCTGCTGTGATGTGTGGCTGTCAGCTCCATATGTGCTTCATCACGGCACAGAAAGTCTGACTTCTGGAACCAAGAGTTCTCATCTGTTTCCAGCGGTTCCAGGCACAACCTCCTGGTTTCCAGTAGGGCCCTAATTACCCAATGTTTGCCCTAAGCTCCTCTGCATGGTCAGAGGCAACAGACAGAAAGTCACAGCTGCTATTCAAATGGATGAAGATTGTCAGCTCCATCGGCTGAATTGCAGAGATGATCCTCAGAAACCCTATTTCATCAATATTTGCTCTGTTCCCTCCTTTTTTTGTTTGATTGGCTCTAATTTCTATCAAGTCTGTTTAATGTTTAACACTGGAAATTAAGCAGATTACATAGCAGTACAAATAAGAGTGTGGACAACAGCATAGTCAACTGAATGCAGCAGGGCTTCTGATTTTGTAAGTACTGCACTAAGTTTTTCTTAGAGACTTGCAAATGATACTTTCTGTGGTCAGCGGAATTTTCATGTTAGGTTAATGTCATTTGTCTGCTTGTGACTTGGTTGTGTGCAGATGTTGCCATGAAATACTAATGAAGCACACATGCAAGGGACCAGTGGGACTTGCTGTGCTGGGGGAATATGCTTAGCCTGAAATTAGAATAAAATAATCTCTGAAGTCATGGGGACTTATTAAGTTGTTGTTAAAGCAGAATACTGATGAAATCACCATTTGGGTTGGAAATAGCTTTTACAGTGACTTGAAATTAGCATAATCCCACTAGTGACTGAAAAAACGGGTCCAATTTATAAACTCTTCTGGTGACTTAATGTATAAAACAACCACTGAACTTCTAAAGCCAGGCTCTCTAATTAGGACTGGGATGAGTGTAGGGGGTGGGTGGAAGGCCACAATTTAAATTTAATTAGTCCTTTTATTCCCATAGATAAACTAATCTGTGGTTTGGCAGAGAATTATTTTCTGAATTTCCAATTTGCATATGAAAAATACAGCCCAGATTTAATAAAGCCTTTCCAGTTTCTTCAGCTTTGAAATGGTAACATTTCAAATGTTTGTGGCTGAAATTTTCTAATTTCAAAATGTTGAAATTAATGTGTTTAACATCTCTAAAGGGAAAGGTATGTGGGGAAAATTTGATGACAATATTCAGTGTGTTCCAGCTTCTTGTAGAAGTGCTTCTTTAATATTTCTGTAGAGAGCTGTGATACTGAGATGTTTTTTAACCAATCTGTTGTAGTAGAAGTTAAAACCAGAGTCATGCCTAATAAAAGTTTGCTGCAGAAAAAAACATACTCTTTACTTCAGAAATTATTTGAAATTTAGGCTAAGCTCTGTTTGGACAGAGAAGGTGGTCATAGACAGACAAAAATTATCGTCTTTTTCACTTAAGTGTGCAATATCTCAAATAACTAGAGAAAAGCAGTCTATAAAACGTTAAACAGCGAGTACTTTTGAAACACCCTCTGTACTACAGGATTGCTTCATTTATCTGCAGTACATAAGGGTTTGGGTTTTTTCAGCTAGGAGGAAGAGGGAGAGTTCTGCTTAAAAGAGATGCAAATAGTTGAATCATATTCCCATCTAGGGCCGTACTCCATCTTTTTGTTTGAGGAAATTAAAATTTATTGTTACCACTTCTTACCATTGGTACTGCAGTGGTCACTGTCTGCTCTCAGACATACTCAGCATACTCAGATCCTAGCAAATATGAGAACACATAGCTTTGTATACTTTTGCCATAAAAACAAGACCACCATACTAAAAAAAAGAATAAAGCAACTGGTTAATCACCAAGAATCTTGGAACTTAGGCTGCCCTCAGAAAATCTATCTAAATCTTGTTTAATTACTAGATAAACAGTTGTCTTTCACATCTGGGAATGAATGTGGGACCAAGAGAACTTCACCTTGGAGGAACATGGGAAAATGCATTCCTGGAAGAGAAGGATACAAACAGCCTGTGTTGGCTGGAAACCAGAAGAAGCCATGACAGTAGAAAAGTTTAGAAATGTTTTCACATAGAAGCTGCAAGGGCAAAAAGCTTATTTTCATAGATAGCTTGTTATGTTTCTGAAGAGAGTTTAAAAGAGATGCTTCTCCAGAACAGCAGGGAACTCAATACGGTAAACTAGAGACTTGCTCCAGCTCCAATGGA